GGTCTTTGTTCTTACCGTTCATCTTCAACTTCAGATTGTTTTCTTCGATGGATCGACTCGTCGTGGTCTTGATGCCGCGTATTGCGGAAAAGAACACTGGGGTATCGTTCGCGAGGTTGCAAACGACATTCTTGGGGAAATTGCAAAGCCAGTCGTAGTGGGACTTCTTCTAATGATGGCTTCGGTTTTCGTCGCTACTTTTCTACTCAAATCGGGGGCTTCTGTTACACGTACTGTTCTTTCGGGTTCACTCCCGAGGTGGCCTCTCCAAGATTATGTCGCGATTATGAACCAGAAAAGGGACCACAAGTAAGTACTGTGTGACTTTCATTACAGATATCATCTTCATGCTTCTTTTTCTCTCCAGACAGTATATAATCCTCGTTCGCATGTCTTCTCTGCAATACTCACCGGAGCCTTCCTCTACTTTTAGATTGTCCTGAACGTTTACCATGTCCTCTGCTGATCGTGGTCCGTCTGAGAGTTTCTCCTCCAGTGACGCTCAGGCTGTGGTACTCGATCCAAATTCCCACTCCCATAATGACAAGACATGTCCCGTGGAAGAAAAAATGGAAACAGATAGTGGCGACAGTAGTCATGCTAGATATACAGGTTCTGGTACTCGCGAAGACCCGTACATAGTCGTCTGGGACGAGGATGACCCCGAAGATCCTTATAACTGGTCAAAGACGCGCAAGTGGATCATCACCACGCAGGTATGTCATTCGTCAGAGAAAGGTTGATAACTCCCCTCATGAGGTTCACACGTTGCCCTTCACTCCTTGAATCAGCTTGCCCTGACTACATTCACGGTATCCTTCAGCAGCAGTTCGTACAGCGGTGGCTTGGAGGACATCACTCGCGACTTGAACGTATCCGATGAGTTGGCTGTATTGGGGATATCGCTGTACGTCCTGGGATTCGCTGTTGGGTATGTGGAGTTTGAAGCAATCACGGGTGAAAATCACGCGTTAATTGATGTTATAGTCCTCTTTTATTCGCACCAATGGGAGAGGTGTGTACGCTTTGTGTTGAAATCTAAGCATGGTTAATTGACGTTGCTTCTGGATGTACATAGATGTATGGACGGGTAAGTAACCATCACTGGGTCCTTCTGACCGTACCACTGACCGATGACCACAAATCTTCGACGATAGCGCATAATATTCTTGATCACTGTTGGTCTATACACCCCCCTTCACATCGGGGGAGCTTTTGCTAAAAACATAACCACTGTTCTTATCGTGAGGTTACTTACTGGTATCTTTGGTGCTTCTCGTGAGTCTGTTTCTTTGAATTCCACAGAGCCACATGCTCAACGGTACTTTGATACTAAGCTTTGACCAATGCTGGGGGGGCCGTAGCTGATATATTTACTCCTCGTGAGAGGGGCCTTGCATCCGCAATATATGCAGCAGTACCATTTCTAGGGCCAGGTCAGTTCAAATCGAGTATCTCAGTGGCTCTATTCTACAACCCACAGTTCCCGCTTATGCAGTAATTGGTCCAATCGTCGGCGGTTTCGTAGCAGAGTCCAGCTTGGGATGGCATTTCAATTTCTGGTTGATGTTGCTCTTGGGCGCTCTCAGCCTGACAATGGGATATTTCGTCGCTCCGGAGACGGTAAGTTCCACTCATGGGAATGATTTTTCGAGTCTTCGCCGTCCGTCTCATGTCTCGCACAGTATGCACCAGTTCTCTTGCGGCGCCGCGCCAACCATCTTATGAAGCGTTCGAATGGAACGATTTGTTATATGTCAAAATATGACATAGGCCGTTCCACAACATTTATAAAAACCATGAAAATCAATCTGAGTAGACCCTTCGGTCAGTCGATGAGTCGTACCGTTTTTGCGCTGCTCACGATTCATCTTCAGCTTTCCTGATAACCGAGCCAATCGTGCTGCTATTTGCGATTTACATCTCTGTCGTATACGGCACATTATATGCTCTGTTTTCGGCTTTCCCTATCGTGTTCGAAACACGGCGAGGTTGGTCTGCGGGATCTGGAGGCCTTGCTTTTCTCGGCGTCGGGGCAGGAATATCTGTAGGAACAGCAACGGCACAAATTCAGAATACTATATATCGAAAAGCGATGGATAAAAGTCCCACAGGACGAGCAGCACCTGAAGCGTAAGTAATATTCAATGGTCCTTCGTCTCAAGAGCGGTGTCTGAAAGGTTTCTTAGTCGATTGCATACTGCAATGATGGGTGGTAAGTCACAGTTGTCTGCCTGCAGGTAGATCCCTCGAGAGACTGAATGTTATTCGAAGGTGTTCTCGTACCTATAGGTCTATTCTGGTTCGCATGGTATGTCCGTCTTTTTGTTTCCTCGGAAGACATAGCTCATTGTAAAATACTAGGACCGCGGATCCACCTGTGCACTGGATCGTTCCTATCATAGCCGGCTTCCCTTTCGGTCAGGGTGTCTGCCAGATCCTGCAGAGTTCTACTGCTTATCTGATGGATGCGTACGAGATCTACTTCGCGAGTGCTATCGCTGCCACGATCGTCCTGCGATCTATCTTTGCCGCTGTCTTTCCGGTCATTGCGCCTACGATGTTCAATCATCTGGGAGACGCGTGGGGCATGAGCATTTTTGCATTCTTGGGCTTGGTTTGTACGCCGATACCTTTTTTGTTCTGGGTAAGGGTCCTATCTGATTTTTCTCGCGAATGATGAAATGACTCCGATCTCTTCTCATCCTTTTCTAGAATTATGGCGAAGTGATTCGCAGCAAATCGAAATACGCATACAAAGAATCTGATGATGTATCATGAACTCAGCTCATTGACAGTCAACCCAATTGTAGTTCTCCAAGGACGCAAAAAATACCACGTTTCTGAGTAGAATTCTTGCGATGCTCTTTGCCATCTGTTTTTACGAGTAGCCTCTGGTAATCAATCGAACTTAGTGTATAGTTTTTTGATCAATATGTTGCTCTTGAATACGCGACAAAATTTTGTGGTATGTCCTAACGATGATGATCCATCGCTTCTGTCGATTGTCGGCTCGATTAGTTCGGAAGCGCTGAACGAACGCGTCGGAAGCGCGTGTCTTCATCTTCTTCCCTTCCTCTGAGCTCCATAGTTACGATGATTACGATTCTGCGAAAGATCCACGTTATCTGAACCTCCATCCTCGCGCTTCCGAAAGACTTCGTCGTCTCCTCGCGAAGGTCGTGTAAACCAGTTCGCTCTTCCCCTCTGCCGATCCGACCTGCTACCACTGTTACTAGTCGTTGCATGCGAGGAGAAATTCGACCTTGTTTCTGTATGCGAATTTTCCCAAGTATTATAGACGGTGGGGTAAGAGTCTGTATGTGAATAGCCCATCTCCACATCTGCAGAAATCTGACTTGAAGCTGGGCGTTGATTTGCATATTGATCTTCGACCGCCGTTTGAGGCAAATTCGTCTCAAAGTAAGGGACAGCAACGCGCATGTAATCCCAAGCGACGCGAGCAGTACCCATTCCCCAAGCCTCGTTCGCCTGTCGTTCGATTTCCGTTATGACGTTGGAACGGATGTTCGTGATTCTGGCACCCTCAGAAGCGATCGGTGTAGGAAATCTGTAAAGGTTGAGGTTGAGTTTCAGTCTAGTGTTTGTACTCGATAGTGTAGCGTTGTCCGTTCACTTGCCTTCCTCCAATATGATTCAATACGAGTTTCTGAGCACCGCAGGCTTTCGCGAACGCACCGGCCATCCCAGGTAATGAATGGCCTCTGGCTATCGCTTTTTCTGAGACCACATTATACGATCTCTTGGCTTTTGCGTCTATCTCTTGAGGAATATGTGCATCTGCAGCTTCGTGTATCAAAAGCGACGGAGAGGGAGATATGCATAATGGCATTATCGCGGAAGGATCACAAGTGTCCCCAAGTATAACTATTTTGCGGAATGGGTGGACTGTCTCTCTGATCACATATCCAATGCACGGATCTGACATCGCTGGACTTGAGCAAACTTGACCACACATTAACGACGTCAAAATTCACTAACCTCGATGCACGATAGGCCCTGCGTCAACCACGACAGGCCCAAGAATACCTTTGCCTTGAGTCACGTTCCTCCATAATCCATCTTCCGTAGAACATACAATGTTCTCTCCAGCAGCTTCGTTTACGTGCATGTCGTCCGGCTCGCAAGACGTCACTGGATCTGTGGGTGTTAATAGTTCATGCACGACATATTTATCGGCCATCCGTGTTAAGGTCATTTTGAGGATACTTCGGACAAAAGTTCGTATACCGGCTGGCCCATAGATTTCTATAGTTGGATACTGTATGTATGGTCGGACATCTATTTCCTCCAAAGCAGTTGAAGCTCACAGGTTTTCGAAGGGCCTCCAGTTCCTCGGCATCTGGACCAATTGGGACTGGGAAGAGGAGATTGCGAAGAACAGGTACTATTCTGGTGGAGAAGGAAGTGATTACAATGATAGCAGGAGTTGTAACTTGGAGAGGCCTTACCCCATTACATGGTCGGCTGCAATAGAATAAGCTCTTGATTGATACGATGAAGATTGGAGAAAGTTCACCATGCATGTGCGTTATGAATATCTTTTTGACCTGGGAGACTCGGAGTTTAGAACGATCCATGCTGGATGGCTGCAAGTGAAATTGACGAAGGGTTCCTTCCGCGCAATCAACCACTAGAGAATTGAGATGTGATCACAAATCTAATCTTGGACAATCACAGGAACCCGCTCACTCCAAAGCGAATTATCGCCCAAGACATCAGCGACGAGTGATGAACAGTTCCGAGAAGTACTAGGCCCACCACCGCTTGAGGTGCCAAGGAATGTCACAGTCATCGTACTGGTCAGCATCTTCTTCGGAATGTAAATTTCGGAGTGAGAGGTTGTAAAAGACCGCGTGAAGATCAAGGAATGGGTCGTTCTTCTGGTGAGAGCGCGTATGATCGTCATGAACGTTCGGGAAAGAGAGTGAGGTCGGGTCAGCGGGGACTTGGCCTCAAATGACTGAAAAATTAAGTCAGGTAGCGTGGCCGAGTGGTCTAAGGCGTTGGATTTAAGCATTCTTCTGATTTGCTTCCCAATGGAGGAAACTCCGCGCGAGTTCGAACCTCGCCGCTACCATTCCAGTTTGTGAGTTGTCGTTTTTATCTGATTTCACATTTTATCTTTTTCATGAGATTTTGGTCTTGAGTTATAATAGTTGTATATGTAGTATGTACATACACATCGATTAACGATGCTATCTTTCAGTTTAGAGATTTCTACCCAGTGACACTTATTCTGATCATAGTAAAAAACGAGAGTCTACCTCGAACAACATATTACTGGACTGTTCAATATCAATCACTCGCAGGAAATTTCAGGTATTGCATTTTGAAGCTCAAGCCTTAGGTATATAACTTCATGTATTCGCTGTGACCCACTTGCATCGATGGAGCCACACGATCAATATAACCCTTCATCCCGGTTGATATCCACATTGTCAATGCATCAAAAGAGCTATGGGACAACGTTGGCAAACGGGGAACAGGCGAAGGAGATCATACGACTTACTCCTGAAATGTTATCTTGACCGCCTGGACCTTGACGAACACTGTGTTTGGAAAGAGAGTCGTATCAAAACCCTTAGGCAGAATCTTACACGAACTAACCGTCGAGTGGGTTTGAATTCTTCTTGCTGGTCGTTTGCATCCCAGAAGTTGGAAAGGGAGCTGTTTCCACCAGGGACAGTCCTTACACGCCTGAAAGAGCGACTTGAACGATATGAGTAGATGTAGATGGTTTGTATACCCACCTGCTTGGTTTGACTTGCGAAGTGAAGTTGATCCCTGATGGTTCTTCGGGCTCCGCTTCCTCTTGAGTTTTGGTCGTGTTGGTGCCCGGATCAGTCCCCTATACGACGAGTCAAGGCTGTGGTAAGGAAGCGAGATAGAATTATGGACCTCAGATTCTTTGGGAGGTGCTTGAGACAAAGCATCATCCTCATCATTCTCACCGAAGATGTCAGTGTGTCCACCACCAGGGGCTTGTCGGACGCGACGTGAAGGTTTGAACGCCTCAGAGGTAGACGTGGAACTCGTCGATGCTGTAGGCTGTCTGTGTGATGATGGTTTCGTTTGAAGATGTAAGAGACGCACGAGTGAGAGACGTGGTGGACTCGGAGGTTCCCATCTCCGAGGAGGATATTTTGCCAAATTTCGCCCATCCTTCAGTAAGATCTATCAGTACCACTGGTGAGCATCATCCAAGGGATAGACGTACTGGGAAGTTTTTGGATGTTACCAAAGTTGGTATCAACGGTTGTTCCGGTGTATCTGTTAGTGAACGAGTTTCAAATTAGCATATACCTCGCATTGAGGATATTGGCGAGATTATACTTGAGGAATTCGATCAAAGACCGCTTCGTGAAGACGATACTTGTCGTATCCCAGTCGAGCATGCCTGATGACAATGAACAATCATATTCAGAAGCGATAGCAGTGGCCGTACCGAGCGCAGCAGCCCATTCTTTCTCTTTAGACATGTCGATAACATCAGAAGGCGTGTAACTGTCGAGGGAAGTATCAGAAATCGAATTAAAAGATTGAGCTGGGAGAAGACGGACGTGGCAGACATAATGATCTTGGAAGTTGTTGAAAGAGCGTAGTCAAGGGCCAAAGTGGCAAAGTAAACAAAACTAAACCTTGTGATCGCGCATCATCACTATGTTTTCTTCTTCCACGGCTATTCGGCGCCTGTCTCGTTGCACTCATCGTCGTTTCCTTGCGTCTTCTGCTTATACGGATCCTTCATCAGCAAATGACCCAGCGACTACCACGACTCCTAGCAACCTCACGAATGAACAACGAAGAGCGCTGGATTCGGCTCTCCGTGTAGATCAAGCAGGGGAAGTTGCAGCTAATTGGATCTATTATGGCCAGCATTGTATCCTCGGAAAACAGCCTGTTACGGGACCTTTGATTCAAGTTTGTATACTATTCTACAGTTATCGACAAATTCTTATTTTACACCGGGTGTAGGAGATGTGGGATCAAGAGAAGAAGCACCTCGAGGTCATGGACAAATTGCAACTTCAACACCGGATACGGCCGACAATTCTAATGGACGTTGCGAAGATAGGTGGCTTTGGACTAGGAGCTGTGACAGCCCTTATGGGCAAGGAAGCTGCAATGGCTTGTACGGAGGCGGTTGAGACAGTTATAGGGGAACATTATGACGAGTGAGAGGAGTGAATTTTTATTCTTCTATATCCAACTGACACCTTGCTATCTCAGCCAGCTGAAAGAGATGGAATCGCTGCCGTCTGCTCATCCGAGTGTTCCATTGTTGAGAGAGGTAGTGAAGGAATTTAGAGACGACGAATTGGAGCATATGAATATTGCGGTGACTAATGATGCACAGAGAGCTCCGGCACACGCATTGCTGAGTACTGTCGTTGGTGCAGGATGCAAAGTAGCGATAGAGTTGTGTAAGAGATTCTAGTGCATGAAAAAATACATCTGAATTATTCTGGTTTCCCTGCTAATGGCTGATCCTTGAGTTTTGCATTCCAGAACCATCGAGACTGAACGCGAATAACATGGTGTTAGACAATGTGACTAGTAGCTTATGTTGCGAACGCACCGTGGTGAAATTGACAACGGTGTACAAAGCAGTGGGGAAGACGACGACACCAAGGATGGCCGCTCTAACGTTAGCAGGGGTCCATCGGAAGCGAAGATAGTTTTGCTCGCGCTGCGTGAACGATTGTATCGAGTCAACTGAGTGCTGAGTCGACGGTAGCAAAAGACGCACCCATAAGTTGAAGTTCTCGACAGCAGGGTCTGGTTTATAGCTACCTAGAGCACAAATAGTTCAGAAATGTTCCTCAGACGGAGAGATACGAGCTACCGTGATGTCCACCAGCCATGATTGTTAAAGCTCGGTTATTATTTGTTCTTGTTTATATCTCCTTCATTCTCGACTACCATCTTCTCAAAATGGACTACAACGATAATCGTGATTGGGACAGAGGCAAAAATGCTGAAGCCTCTTGGTATCCCAACGATTCTCGTCAAAGCTACCATCCCAGAGAGGATGAGTATCACGCTCAAGGAAAACGCAGAAAATACAACGATGGCGTATGTGGCTTCTCTTCTCAAATTCACTTCTTTTCATGCTCAGCAATTTGACACAGGGATACCAGGGCTACGACGGCTCTCAGGCATACGAAGAATACAAGCATGATTCGAATTATAATCGCCAAGGTCAAGGAAATCCACCAGACCCATCGGGACGTGGTGGCGGACCCAAGAAACGGTTACAGCCTTCGGAACCCAGTCCTCATGTCATCTTTCTTGGCCTCGATCCTGACTTCACCGAGTCCGATGTCTGTATCATCCTCGCATCTCAGTGGTCTCGTTTGGCTCACTTTCTGCTCCCAGCTTCAATCATACCTCAACTCTCACGGGTGCAGCGTAGAAACGGTTACAATTATCCGAGAACGATCAACAGGCAGTTGCCCATTCGTATATTCTGCTTTCCGCATGCATTGACATTCTCTCTCTCTGCGTCTGGATTATCAAGGTTCTTCAAAGGGTTTTGGCTTTGCGCAATTCAGCAGCTCTGAACATGCTCGTGCTTTTGTGGATCCGTTGTTCCCGTTTGTCCAAGTACCGCCTCCGGCTTCTCATGGGGCTACTGCAACTGCTGCTTTCTATAAGAGCCTTGAAACTGGTTTGCCCCATAACGGACGGAGGGTCAAGATCGACTACTCTCAAAGTGCTACTCCGCACGAAAAAGGTCGATTGAGGGGAAACACTAATGACGGTACTCGCGACATTGGGAATACACAGGCACCTGTCCTTCTCTTCAGAGGACTTGATCCGCTTTCTGGACCCCAAGCTATTCATCAGGCAATGAGGAATTCGTCGGGATTTGGCAAAGAAGGTGCTAAAGGGATGAAGAGAATCATACTCATCAAGGACAAAGTTACAATGGCTAGCTTTGGTTTTGCCTTTGTGGAGTTCATAGACACACCGGTAACTCATGCCCTCGCTGTTGAAACTAAATCACTCATATAATTGTATCAGTCCGCTTCGGCGGTGCTTGCAGCTACAATGTCTCCACAGATTCATCCGGCAGGATTCAGAATATCGGACAGGCCTGTGGCCGCCTCTTTCGCTCATCCCGATTCTTTCCAACCGATCCAAGAAATCATGCTCCGAGACGATGCTTGCCTCACCTCATCACTTGCACTAGGCGGTGTAGAAGGCACCTATGTCCGGTACTGGGACGAATCTTCGATGGTCGCGGTGCTTGAATTCCAAGTGGTCGTTCCCCAGTCATCAACGGCGGCGAACGGAAAAGAAAAGAAAGAAAAGAAAAAGAAGGGTAAGATGCGCTTCCGTCGCTGTGAAGTTTTTGTAACATTTCGATGTAGAGCCTGCCCTTCGTCCCATTACTCCTCTGGCGCCTTCTACATTGCCTGTGTCTGACAAGCCGGTCACTCTCAGTTTTAACAAAGGACCGTCTAAGACCACCGCTACGAGTACGTGGTTTGAATGATGGTCTTGCATGCGGCTGAAGCTACTTATCTCTTCAGGTTTGGGCTCAGCTGTGAAACCTCTATCCTTGGGATTCTCTGCTGATGACGACAATGATGAAGAAGATGAAGAGTCTGCAAACAACAGCAAAGGTGAGCATTCGAACAGCGTAGTCGTGCACCTAGTTCTAAATGATGTTTGTAGTGAACAGCTCTAAAGGAGTTGCGCCCCTGATAGCAAGCAAGAAGGTAATTCGTAGGACCCATTTGAGCATCCATACACACAAAACTGTCTGTTTCGGCTCGCTCATAAGCTGCGTTATCCGCAGACCATCAACAATATCAATAAATGGAACCAAGTGCAAGAGGAACTTTCGGGCACTGCCGCAACGAGCTCAAGTTCTACATCGGTGACCTATCCTCGTTGGCTTTCTTTCTCTCTGCAATCATTGAACCGGACTCCCCGCAACAACAGATCGTGCCTACTGAAAGTACAGTCGTGCCTTCCTCCACGAAAGCAGGCACACCGCCCGCCGAGAGTGGTCTTGAATTCGCGGACGTGGATGCCTTTGCCTGCTTACTCTGCGCCCGACAATTC